ACCAGCACCTAGAGCAGTGGCCTCAATGCCCAGGTCAGGCGGTACACACAGGTAACAGTCACCCTCAACACTCGTAGTCACAGAATACATGGCAGCAAGGAAAGCATCATAGTCAAGATCAAAGACGGCAACCCCTGCCCTAGACAGATCCCCCCAGCGAGGGATCTCTGACGCCTCAGGGAACTGGCAACGCCACGCGTCCGTTAGGCGGCCGAAGCAGCGCTGGGTGGAGTGCGGGCCCCTGCACTGCTCACCAGCTCGGTCGCCGGTACGGAGGACGTAAGTGCAGGGTCCAAAACCCCCACCGCGCTGACGCGCAGTGTACCACTCACGAAGCTGCTGAGGGGACAGGGTCACGCCACTCCGCTGCTGCTGGCGCGGACCACCACCTGAGCCACTCCTCTGCGCAGAGTCGTGACCCGCTCCACCACCGCCGCGGCCACCGCCTCCGCCGCCTCCTCCACCTCCGCATCCTCCGCCATCTCCGCCGCCTCCGCTCCCTCCGCCACCTTTGCGGCCTCCGCCGCCTCCACTGCTGCCGCCGCCGCCGCCACCCTCGGCACCACTCCCACCACCACCCCCACTCCCTCCACTGCCTCCACCACCACCTCCACCGCCCCCGCCAGCCCCTCCAGCGCCCTTGCCCCCCTTGCCCTTGTCGGTGCGGCGTCTCCCGCTCGGGGCAGACGCAGCGCGGACCGACTGGAAACCAACGAGGTAGGCCGCAGCAGCAGAGGCAACAGAGGGCAAGAGGGGGGAGGGAGAACACCCCTCAAAGACGGGGGTGCGAGGGTCACCACGAGAGGCTCCTACAGCAACTATGCTCTTCTGTGCTGCTAGGAGGCGCTCCTCGAGGAGGTCGACGGTGAGAGTGGTGGGGCAAACTGAGAGGAAGTGGTCCCTGACTACGCGGAGAGAGTCAGGGAGCCGGGTGACTATGTAGTAGAGGGTGATGTACATGGGGGGGGGGTTAGTGGCACAGAACTCAGCAGGAAGCACAGCGCGGTAGCGAGTGTCACAAGTGCGGAGGTGCGTAATGAGGTCAGCGACTGTGGGAAAGGCAGTAAGGTCAGGGAAGAGGTACGGTAGCATGAGGGGGCTCAGTGCAGCAGTGGCAGGGGAAGAGTAGCGTGCAACTACAGCGTCGTACAAGGTCTGAGCACTCTTGTACTGGCTAAAGTGTGCACGCTCAGTGGTCGGTAAGTGGCGGCGCACAGCAAGGCGAGCAGCAACATCGCGCGTGGCCCACTGTGAGCGAACAGTGGCGTCAGCATCAGCAGCAGGGGCAGGAGAGGTACCAGAAGTGAGGTCAAACAGGAAGAGACCGTCTGCCCTATCGCACTGTAGGAAAAACTGCAGATCATCTACCCAAACCTCAAAGTCAACTGCCCGACCCTCAGCGTCAAAGGTGAGAACACTAGGGGTGGCCATGACAGCAGTACACAGGCAGTGATTACAGTGGGGCAGGGCATTGCAGTGGCAGAGGCCTTGCTCTTACCAGGTAAGTGAGGCGGACCCAGGCAGGCCGACAAGCAGCGGCGCCTCGGCTGAAGTGCGGCTCGGCGGCAAAACGCGGCTCGGCTGCTCGGCGGCAATGGCGGTTGGGCGGCAAAGGCGGCTTGGCGGCTCGGCAGCATAGGCGGCTCGGCGGCTCAGCGGCTCGGTGGCTCGGCGGCGCAGCGGCTTGGCAGCTCGGCAGCAAAGGCGGCTCGGCGGGGCCGCTGAAGGGCGGCGACGGGGCCGCAGGTAGGGGTGGCGACGGGGCCGCTGAAAGGGCGGCGACAGGGCCGCGGAAGGGCGGCGACGGGGCCAGTGAAAGGCGGCGACGGGGCCGCTGAAGAGCGGCAACGGGGCCGCTGAAAGGGCGGCGACGGGGCGGCGGAAGGGCGCTGACAGGGCCGCGGAAGGGGTGGGCGGCGACGGGGCCGCTGAAAGGGCGGCAACGGGGCCGTGGAAGGGCGGCGACGGGGCCGCAGAAGGGCGGCGATGGGGCCGCAGGTAGGGGCGGCGACGCGGCCGCTGAAAGGGCAGCGACACGGCCGCGGAAGGGCGGCGACGGGGCCGCTGAAAGGCGGCGATGGGGCCGCTGAAGGGCGGCGACGGGGTCGCTGAAATGGCGGCGACAGAGCCGCGGGAGGGCGGCGACAGGGCCGCTGAAAGGGCGGCGACAGGGCCGCGGAAGGGCGGCGACGGGGCCGCTGAAAGGCGGCGACGCGGCCTCTGAAAGGCGGCGACGGGGCCGCGGAAGGGCGGCAACGGGGCCGCTGAAGGGTGGCCACGGGGCCGCAGTTAGGGGCGGCGACGGGGCCGCTGAAAGGGCGGCGACAGGGCTGCCTAAGGGCGGCGTTGGGGCCGCAGTAAGGGGCGGCGACGGGGCCGCTAGGGGCGGCGCGACGGGGCCGCAGGGGCGGCGCGACGCGGCCACAAGGGCGGCGCGACGAGGCCGTTAGGGGCCGTAAGAGGGGGAACGACACGGGGCGCGACTCAGGCAGGGGCCAAGCGCGCTCCGGGCAGGAAAAAATAAGATCGGTGGGCCTTAGGAACAGTTCCCACGAGGGAACCAGCTGTGATACCATGTGAAGTTTAGAACGAGAGGATGATTGAACTATGAAACAGTTGGGTACAAGTACTAACCCTAATTGGGTTGTACCCCTTATGGGCTACCCCACTAAAGCCTACACAGATGTATAAGCTATTATGTTCTAACAAGGCGACGGGGCCGCAATAGGGCGGCGACGGGGCCTCGAGAGGGCGGCGACGGAGCAAGAGGGCAGCGACGGGGCCGCGATAGGGCGGCAACGGGGCCGCAAGAGGGCGGCGACGGGGCCGCGATAGGGCGGCAACAGGGCCGCGATAGGGCGACGACGGGGCCGTGGAGGAGGGGCCGCTAAGGGCGGCGCGACGGGCCGCAAGGAGAGCGGCGATGGGGTTGCGAGGGGCCGTGAGAGAGGGGGAGGGCCGCTGAGGGCGGCGCGATGGGTCGCTAAGGGGAGGGCGGCACACTGGGCGCGCCTCGGTCAGGAGCGACTCGATCTCACGGCAGAAAAAAAAAAAGTCGAAGTTCAGTGGTGGGCCCTAGGCAGTTCCCACGAGGGAACTTGCTCTATACCATGTGAGAACTGAGGAATGAAATGAACTAGCACAAAGTTGGGTACAAGTAGGAAACCCTAGGAAACTGTAACCCATAGTGTCTACCCCACTAAAGCCTACACAAGCTATATAATATGAGTTTGACAAGGCCATGCCTCGAAGACGAGGCAGGGAGGGGTGACCAAGGAGGTGGTGCCAAAGGAGAGTCTGGTGGGACAGGAGACGACACGAGCAGGGAGCAGACTCAGGACTAGACCTGGACGCTGCAGCAAACACTTGACTCGACGTAGCTACCTGACCAGACTCAGCAACCGGAGGAGACTCAATAGTCAGTGTGTACAGGCTCGACCATGGCCGACGGGTAAACGTTGCCAAGTGTCGGCCCGTCCGAGCACACGTATAGTGGGTCACCCGCTGACTCGCAGGAGTGAACTGGTCAACCCCCCTATCCTGTAGATCAGCACCACTCACCAAGTTCATAGAGAACGAGGGGAGGTAGAGACCCGACAGGGTGCCAGAGGGGGCTGCCGGACACGGTAAGACAGAGGAGAAGTGAGCGAGGATAGGACCCCCATAGGGGTCGGCCAGGGAGACCGCAACCGGCCGACTAAGCGGCGTAAGCGTGGTGCGGTCTCGAAAGAAGGAGCGGAAAGCACCCGAGTCAAGGGTGAAGGTGTGTAAGGCCTGAGCCGACGTGGTACCTGAGAGAGCAGACTCACCAACACCTGAAGCAGCAGACTCACTAGCACCTAGAGCAGCAGCCTCACCAGCACCTAGAGCAGCAGCCTCAATGCCCGGGTCAGGCGGAACACACACGTAACAGTCACCCTCATCACTAGTAGACACAGCATACATGGCAGCAAGAATAGCATCATAATCAATATCAAAGATAGCAACCCCCGCCCTAGACAGCTCTCCCCAGTGAGGGATCTCAGTGGCGTCAGGGAACTGGAGACGCCAAGCGTCCGTTAGGCGGCCGAAGCAGCGCTGGGTGGAGTGCGAGCCCCCGTACTGCTCACCAGCGCTTTCGCCGATACGGAGGACGTAGGTACAGGGACCAGTACCCCCACCTCGTTTACGCCCAGCGTACCACTCACGAAGCTGCTGGGGGGATGGGGTCTGATGAGTGCGCTGCTGCAGCTGGCGCGGACCACCACCGGAGCCACTCCTCTGCGCAGAGCTGCGACCAGCTCCACCACTGCCGCCGCCGCCGCCGCCACCTCCGCCGCTTCCGCTCCCACCGCCACCGCCGCCAACTCCACCGCCTCCACTGGTGCCACCGACACCTCCACCCCCGCCACCACTCCCACCACCACCCCCACCCCCTCCACTGCCTCCACCGCCACCTCCACCGCCCCCGCCAGCCCCTCCAGCGCCCTTGCCCTCCTTGCCCTTGCCGGTGCGGCATCTCCCACTAGGGGCAGACGCAGCTCCGACCGACTTGAAGCCAACGAGGTCGGCCGCAGCAGCAGAAGCAACAGAGGACAAGAGGGGGGAGGGGAAACACCCCTCAAAGACGGGGGAGCGAGGGTCACCATGAGAGGCTCCTACAGCGACTATGCTCTTCTCTGCTGCCAGGAGGTGCTGCTCGAGGAGGTCAACGGTGAGTGTGGTGGGGCAAACTGAGAGGAAGTGGTCCCTGACTGAGCGAAGGGAGTCAGGGAGCCGGGTGACTATGTAGTAGAGGGTGATGTACATGGGGGGGAGGGTTCTTGGCACAGAACTCAGCAGGAAGCGCAGCGCGGTAGCGGGTATCACTAGTGCGAAGGTGCGTAACGAGGTCAGCGACGGTGGGAAAGGCGGCGAGGTCAGGAAACAGGTACGACAGTATGAGGCGGCTAAGAGCAGCAGTGGCAGGGGAAGAGTAGCGTGCAACTACAACGTCGTACAAGGTCTTAGCACTCTTGTACTAACTTAAGTGCGCACGATCAGTGGTCGGTAACTGGCGACGCACAGGAAGACGGGCAGCAGCATCGCGTGTGGCCCACTGTGAGCGAACAGTGCTGTCAGCATCAGCAGGCGGGGCAGGAGAGGCACCAGAGGTGAGATCGAACAGGGAGAGTCTGTCTGCCCTATCGCACTGTAGGAAGAGTTGTAGGTCATCAACCCAGACCTCGAAGTCAACAGCACGACCCTCAGCATCAAAGGTAAGGACACTGGGGATAGCCATGACAGAATTTGTCTAGCATGGAATGCTCTCACCAGTCTGGGTGGGTAGGGCCGGGGCACGCCGATAGGAACAGGGCTACAACCGCGGTGGCAGCAGCTCGGCAGTGGCAGAAGCGGCTAGACGGCGGCTCGGCGGCAGCATCTTGGTAGTGGCACCTCGACGGCGGCCTCTGCGGCTCGGCGGCTCGGCTGCTTGGCGGCTCGGCGGCTCGGTGGTTCGGCGGCTCGGCGGCTCGGCGGCATAAAACTCAGCAGGAAGCGCAGCGCGGTAGCGGGTGTCACTAGTGCGAAGGTGCGTAATGAGGTCAGCGACTGTGGGAAAGGCGGCGAGGTCAGGGAACAGGTACGGCAGCATGAGGCGGCTAAGGGCAGCAGTGGCAGGGGAAGAGTAGCGTGCAACTACAGCGTTGTACAAGGTCCTAGCACTCTTGTACTGACTAAAGTGCGCACGCTCAGCGGTCGGTAAGTGGCGACGTACAGCAAGACGGGCAGCAGCATCGCGTGTGGCCCATTGTAAGCGAACAGTGCTGTCAGCATCAGCAAGCGGGGCAGGAGAGGCACCAGAGGTGAGATCGAACAGGGAGAGTCCGTCTGCCCTATCGCACTGTAGGAAGAGCTGTAGGTTATCGACCCAGACCTCGAAGTCAACGGCACGACCCTCAGCATCAAAGGTAAGGACACTGTGGGTAGCCATGACAGCAGTGGTCTAGCAGGGAGTGCTCTCACCAGTTCGGGTGGGTAGGGTTGAGGCGCGCCGGTAGGAACTTGCTGCAACCGCGGTGGAAGCGGCTCAGGGGCGGCTCGGCAGCTCGGCGGTGCGGCGGCTCGGGGGCTCGGCGGTGCGGCGGCTCGGCAGTTCGGCGGCTCGGCGGTGTGGCTGCGTGGCGGCTCGGCGGTGAAGGGGCCGGAAGGGGGGCGGCGACGGGGCCGCAAGAGGCGACGACGGGGCCGCAAAGGGGCCGCGAGGAGCGGCGATGGGGCCGCGAAGGGCAACGACGGGGCCGATAGGGGCGGCGACTGGGTTGCAAAGGGGGCCGCGAGGGGCCTCGAAGGGCGGCGACGGGGCCGCTAGGGGCGGCGACGGGGCCGCGAAGGGGCCGCGAGGGGCCTCGAGGGGCGGTGACGGTGCCGCTAGGGGCGGTGACGGGGCCGTTAAGGGGCCGCGAGGGGCCTAGAAGGGCGGCGACGGGGCCGCTAGGGGTGGCGACGGGGCCGCTAAGGGTGGCGCGAGGGGCCGTGAGAGGGGCCTCTAGGAGGGCGCGACAGGCCGCTAAGGGCAGGGGGCGCTACGAGAGGGCGGCCCACGGGGCGCGCCTCGGGCAGGGGCGACTCGCGCTCCGGTCAGGAAAAAAAAAAATCGATTTCAGTGGTGGGCCCTAAGAAGCGTTCCCACTAGGGAACCTGCTCTATACCATGTGAAGAAATGAGGAATGAAATGACTAAGGAGAATGTGGGTACAAGTAGGAAACCTAGAAATGTTGTACCCTATAGTGTGTACCCCACTACAGCCTAGATAGACCATAGCATATAAGTTGACATGCCAGGCCCGGTGCGCACGGAAACGGATTCTCCCAAATATAGAACGCCACATTAACGAGCCCGCGCGGCAGCAGACAGTATGGACCGAGATCGCACCGCCGTCTCGGACCTAGGAGACTTGCCGCGAGACCCTTGATGGACCGAGGGAGTACGATCTCGGTGGTGGAACCAAGATCCAATGACCCCGCAGACCAGAATGCCGGGGATGACTATGAAGAAGGACGAACCCGACATACGCTGGACGCAGAACAGTGGCCAGGCTGGGGAGCCGTGGCAAGGAGGGACTCTGGTGTATAGCGGCGTCGGGCAGCTACCTGGAGACACGAGCGAAGCATCCGGAAATCGCGAAGGGCGCTAGAAGGCGACGAAATTGCCGAAGGTGGAGGTGGCCGAACGCTACACGGTTATTCCCGGTGTGGGACCAAGTCTGAAGAATTATCTCATGCAACTCGAGACCGTGTAGTACTGCTGGGAGCGCGATGGATACAATCCGGCGGGGTTCTTCCGGAAGATGGTGGGAACACTGGCGGGCGAAGCAGAGACGTTCTATCGCATGACTTGAGACGAGATCTTGGGAGAATTGGCTGACGGGGATATCTCCAACCCTACGGCCCGGTTTCTTCAGCTGCTACGCAAGGAGTTCATCGGACAGACAAAGGCGCACGTGGATGAGTTTCGAGACTTCCTGCGGAAGAAGTACGAGTCCTTGCTAGCCTATTACTACCGGCTCCGCGAGCTAGCTGAGGATCTGGAAAGCAAGGACGAGCGCTTGCTCGTGAGGAAGTTCTTGCGGGGACTGGAAGACGAGATATGGGGGGTATTGCGGAGCATCGTCTACAGCGTGGGCGCTGACATCACTCTTAAGGAAGTCTACATGCTGGCGAAGAAGACGGAACAAGCGCAGCGACTACTGGATCTTGAAGATTCAGAAGGAAAGAGTCGCGCGAAGATGAGTTGAGCGGCGGCGGCAGTACCAGAGACATCCCCTGTGAGCGGTAGCCAAGCGGACCCCCGGCTCTGCCACACCTGCGGAGAGCACGGGCACTTGAAAACGGGATTGCCCCAAGGCTCCGACCTACAAGCAATGCGGGAAACGAGAACATCGGAAGGAAGAATGCTATAGTCGGCCGAAAGAAGCGGCGGGAGCCACTAGGGAGGAGCTCCAAGCCGAGGTCCGTCGCCTGCAACTGCAACTAGAGCAGTTACCTAATCCGAAGGAGGTGAAAGCACGGGCGCTGCTGGCGTATGAAGAGATTGAAGAAGACGAGGAAGAAGGGGGGGAGTACTACAAGCGGGAGTATGCGGTGATGGCATATCCCAGGGCTCGAGACGACCTCCGGCTTCGGCCAAGAACGAGCCAGACCCAAGACAGCGATGCTACGAGTGGGCCGCGCCCACGGAGAAGCCAGACGGAAAGGACAAGGCATTCCGAAATGCGGCAGATTTGAATGAAAGGCTAGTGTGCCAAGCGTCTGTGCTGATCGCCGAGAAGGGGAGAATTACGGTGGGAGGCCTACCCGTGAAGCAGGCCATCATCGATACGGCCGCGCACCACGTGCTGATCAGAAAAGGACTCGCCAAACAGTTGAAGTTGGATGTGGCCGGTCGGACCATAGAGAGGGGGATCTTACTAATGACCGCCGCAGGATGGGAGCCCAAGTGGATGCCGAAAACGAGACGGCCGGTAGAAGTGGTGCTCCTACCCGGGACGGAGAAGGAGTGCTGCATCCGTCTGCAGTGCGGGGTCTCAGAATCCAAGAACTACGACGTCCTCTACCACGTGCGAGCCACCATTTGCACTTGGCAGGAGAAGGTGCTGTACCAGGTGCAGTACAGGGACCCAGAGAGCTCCATAGGTACGCTGCCGGTACGGTTCGTTCGACAGTGTTGGTGCAACCCTACGGTTTGCACTCGGCTTGTTGTCCGTGTGCGTGCATGTGTGTGTGTATGGAATGGTATGAGGGCATGGGATAATATATATTTCATGCTTATAATTGTGTGTGAATGTTGAGTCATGATGTCGAGTGTGTGTGTCGAGTCAATAGCGAGTTATCGCTAGACGCGTGTTACGCGGTCGTTTGTGTCTCGCGCGCGGTTTTTATTTTTGTCGTGCGCGGTTTCTATTTTGTCCTGTGTCGAACGTTCGTTGTGTCGCAAGTGTGTGCAGCAGACCCATCAAGAACTCAAGGATGAGTTTGTGATGAAGAGCCCGAGCCTTGGTGTCAAGCCTCAAGTGATTTCAAAGCTCGCCAAAAGGGTACACCTCAAGGTATTGAAGATAGTTACATTACTTTGTGTACTGTAACATTTCACTTGGTGTAGGCCCTAGTGAAGGGTAGTTTCGAGACCCTTGGTGGTTGGGGACAGTGTGGCACTGTTCCACATCACAGTACCTCGGCTCTTGGGGTTTGTAGGAGCTGGGAGTCATTCCCAACTCGTAACTCTTCATATCTCTTCCTATCTTGTGTTCTAAGACTATGTTGCTGCCATAGTACCGTTCGTACAAACCGGCTCTGTGTCGTCAATACTTGGTCAAATTGTGCGATCTAAATTGCCTAGTGTAGGCAACAATACGACGCTCCAGATCCAAGTTGAATCAAGTCATTTGAAGCTGTGACCAGAACGCTATGAACGTTTGAAGCCGCTGTGCAGAAATCCGGCTGTGCACTCTATCTTTCGTTTTAGGCACATTGGAGCCTACTGTGACTATAACACGTGGTATCAGACCCCTTGGAGCAGTTTCGACAATGGCTGGACCTGAGGAAAGGGGTGGCAGAGGTTCTGGTGGCAGAGGAGAAGCCCAAGCTCAAGGCCAACCCCGTGACTCAGCCATGGCGCCCGTGCAACCAAGTGTTGGCCCATCTAGGGATGAGCCTAGAGTGTTTGGCCTTGACAAGTTCAATGGTGACAACTTTGCTGAGTGGTCCTTCAGAATGGAGAACATATTTGACCACTATGACCTGCTGGAGGTGATGGAAGGAACGGAGAAGCGTCCCGAGAACGACCCGGAGAAGAGCCCGTGGGTGCGGAAGAGCGCACAAGGCTACCTCCTACTTGGGCAAGCGTTGGGGAGCAGCCAAATCCGTCACATCAAGCCTTTCCAGCGTGAACCAGAGAAGGGACCAAAAGCATGGGCTGCTCTCAAGGGTGTACACGCTCCTGCAATAGCGGCGGTAGCTGTGGTGTTGGAACGGCAAATGGCGACACTACGAATTGAAGAGGATGAAGCGGTTGAAGAAGGGGTGCAGAAATTCTTCGACTTTTTGTCGCGGCTTGAGGGAGCGGATTTGAACTATAGTGAGCTCCAAAAGAAGACCAAGTTGCTGGCTCTACTCCCCGAATCATGGTCCTTGCTCATCATCAACCTGAATCGCGACTTGCCCCGCCTCTCGCTCGAAGACGTGAAGCGAGCTATCCTTCAAGAGGGTTTCCGCCGCCGTGAGTTGGCGAGTGCGGATGGCG